GTGGGCAGGTTGACCAAGCTGCTCCCACCTAGAAGCTGGATTCTCAGAGAAGCCTTGGTTACCAAGGAAGGCATCTGGGATGCAGAAGGAGCGTTGGTCTAACTGCACACCCCCTGATCACACTGGAGGGGGTGAGGTGATCATGCTTTACTTTGCTGAGGGAGGGTGTTCTCTTGTAATGTCACAGCAAATTGCTTATTGCAGGCCTTCCTGGGTAACACACACACCACCAGCATCCATCAGCTTAACTCTCAGCTTAACTCCCAGCCTCACTCCCCTCAGAGGGCCCTCCATGCAGATAGGCTGCTGCACAACAGCGGTGGGACTGTCAGGCAGGTAGCACTGACTGTAAAAGCTCTGGCTTCAGGGGAGGGAATGGCACTGGCTGACATTAGGGGCCCTAGAAACTGCCCTTGGGATTTCATTTCTCATCCTAAGACTAACTCTGCTGCCTGGAGTTTTCCCCTGGTCCCTGCCCAGGGCCGATCACCAGATGGAAAGAGTTCTGGAAAGGGAGTCAAAATGCCTGGGTTCCAGGGCTGTCACTGATGCTGTGTGACTTTGAGCCCTGTGCTCTCTGTGGGTGGGTGGGTGGGTGGGAGGGGGAAGCTCTTTGTCACTCTGATCACCCTGTCTTTGCCCACAGGCTATTTTCCAACCTGCTTAAGGGGCTCAGCCTGGCTTCCCTTGGAGAGAGGATCCTTATTATCCATATAAGTTGAAGCATCAGAGATTTGGCCAAACATGGAGCTCTTCCTGTTCCTCAGACCATACAAAGTGTCCTTTCTTGGGGGCTCCTCTCCCTTCTCTGCCTCCCCTCACGCCCAATCCACCTGACACCCATTACTCGGATCACTGAAAGGGTAGCTCTGGTAACATTGTTTCCCTGATCAGAAACCANGGCACCCTGCGGATGGCCGTCCGCTCCAGGCACAGTCTGGTGGTGTCCGGGGGGATAGACGCCGGGGGCAGGGTCATGTCGGGGTCGTTGCACACCACCGTCCTGGTCACACACATGGGGGCGTTAGAGCAAGGGGCCTGCTGGGTCAGGGGTCCGCCTCGTCCCCCCACCCTCTTTCACGAGGCTTCCAGGACCGCCTGTCAACACGGACACCAACCCCAGGGTCCCAGGAGGGCCACTGGGTTTTCACTGGCCTGAAAGACCTGACATGAAACTGTTATGTCCCATTCCCGCCAGCGACACCAGCAGCCACTAAGGAGAAGTATCACGTCCTGTGGTCGTCCCATGTTGCAGCATCACACACATGTGATCACAGGGCTCATTTGTGAAATTATACCTTGAGTTTTGTCACCGTTTTGGCTTTTCCTCATTTTTTTTTTTTTTAAATATACCAAAGAGCATCAAGATGGAAGTGCCTCAAATCTCTCCTGATTCCGAGGGGCCATGAAGATGTGGAAGAAAGCACATTAAGGCAATAAGATTTTCGGATGATAGTGCAGTTCGGGTGTTGCAAGGAGGAAGGTCTGGATATAGGTGAGAGTTGATGGGAAAACATATTTTGGATTGGGGAGAAAACAAGCAAGGGAGGAATTAAAGGAAACCAGTGACAGCCCAATGCAGGCCAACAGCACAGGTCCTGGTGGGGCAGTCTGGGCACAAAGAGCACGGGGACACATCTGTCCTGATACCCAGACTGGGCACTTGCAGGCAATTTCATATGCACAGTACAGGCACTCTGCTCACTGTACAGGAGTGTGGGGTGTGGGCAGGTTGACCAAGCTGCTCCCACCTAGAAGCTGGATTCTCAGAGAAGCCTTGGTTA